AAAAGATGTGGGTAGAGCGGAATGCCCCTCTGACAAAAGAAATATTTTGTGAAATACCCCTGGCGTCGGTTGGACCCCCATCTTTGCAATATACCCCAACCGGGTACCATCCAACTTTGGAAAATGCCCCAGTACTTGCCAACTTTTCCTGGCGCTATTGCAAAAGGCCAAGGGAGAGGTCCAGATTGCGAAGTTGCACACCCGCCTGACAGGGGCACAGCACACAGCACAAAGATTTCGGCCCAAAAGGGCATTCCGCTCTACCCACATCTTTCAGGGGCATTTTGGCATAGATCTCAACTTATGGGGGTATTTTGCAAGTTATCCCTAAGGGGAACCCCTTATGAAAAAAGAAAAAAGAAAAAAGAAAAAAAGAAAAAAAGAAAAAAAGAAAAAAAGAAAAAAGAAAAAAGAAAAAAAAAGGAATGGACGAGTCAACCGGCGGGCGAGGTCCCACTACCAATAGCCAATCTGGTCGTGTTCTATGCAGAGATGCAGAAAAAGTCGATCAATCGCGATTTTGTGCACCTTTCCGCAAATGTGCCCAGATTCAGGCGTTAAATCCAGTCCTCTTTGGTAGTGGACGACGCTCGAACTGATGTGACCGCGGACTCAACTCAACTGGATTGGCGGATCTGACTCAACTCGAGCGAGCGACGACGGGACAGACAGAGTGACCGTGCGTGCACAGGGGTAGCGGACAGCTGGACATAAAATAAAAGCAGTGAATTCGATCACACCCCACTCTAGCAGACAAAGAATTCAATCAAGAGTGAGCCCCACTCAGATCGCGTCGAGTCAATCAAGAGGGAAACAGCTCCTCTCAACTTCAACGCTGTGAACGACTCACCTTGCGCACAAACACACTAACTTTGACTTGAGTGAACCAGGCGATGGATGCCCCCCCCCACTCAAGTTGAGTCCCCCCCCACTCAACTTGAGTGGGGTGCCCCAACTGGAATCGAGTGAACCAGGCACTCTACTTTTGGAGGCCTGGGGGGTACCGACTCAACTTGGCTCAACTTGAGTTCAGTGATCACCAAGGCAATTTAACTTGAGTCGTGTGATGGACTCAACTTGAGAGTTTAGTGAACCACCAAGCGGATCAACTTGCGCAGCTTGGGTCCTGCGATCGACTGAACTTGCGCGCGCAACTTGATGTTGATGTCGAGTCGAGTCGATCACAAGAGAGACTCGGGTGCAGCAGTGTGTAACGGATCGAATCGATCACAGATGGTTAACGGAACGGAATTCGATCGCAGCTGGTTAACGGAACGGAATTCGGTCGCAGCTGCTTAACGGAACGGAATTCGGTCGCAGCTGCTTAACGGAACGGAATTCGATCGCAGCTGGTTAACGGAACGGTATTCGATCGCAGCTGGTTAACGGAACGGAATCCAATCAGCCGAGAAGTTTATTGATACTAACCATGAAAGCCCCATCAACAAGGATGGAATGGAGTCGAGTTCCATGATGAGGATGACGGTCGACTTCTCGGGCTCCTCGATCTCCTCCTCCTCCTCCTCCTCCTCCTCCTCCTCCTCCTCCTCCTCCTCCTCCGTGCCTCTGTCCTGGCCGTACGATCCACGCTTCTGCCAGATAGCCCCCCTTCTTGATGGGCGCGGTAAAAGCTTTCTCCTTCAAGTGGACAGTAGCGGCAGCTCGCGCTGAGTCCTGCGCCGGGGGGTTTGCACCTGTTGGTCTAGAAATCTGTTCCTGGTTCGGAATTGGGAATCCTGGTTCGGGGTAGGGTCGGCCTGGATGGCTCGTGATGGACCCAGGAAGGACCCCTGGAACAGCGCCAGGAACGCCGGAGCAGCATGACGGTCGCCGAGCAATTGGGCCCTCTGACCCCCACAAATTCAGTTGCAAATTAGGGCTCACTACCGGTAGCCCCCCCACCCCGTGAAGCCGGGCCTGGCCCGAACCAATCCGCCCGGCCGTCGAAGCTACTACGCCGGCTGTCGCCAGGCCTGGTGCCGAAGGAGCTGAGACTGGTTGTACAAGTTGTTGAAGGTCGGCATCCCGACTCACCGCACGTACCTCCTCTCCACTCGATCCCGACGGGCTTGGGATCGACAAAACGGGGACCTTCCTGCGGAGAACAGATCTCAGCGCCGGAAGACACGTGTCGACTTCCCGTCGAATAGCGGACCCGGATGATGCCCCCCCTCCTAGAAGACGTAAGGGGACGCTTGCTCTCCCTCCACCATCCAGCACTCTCGCCCGGCTATCAAAATCACCATCCAATGACCAGGCAAGCGTTGACGACGGCTCGGATGTAATATCATCATCTCGCCCTCCTCCTCCTCCGCCCCCATCGCCTCCTCCTCCCTCACGCTCTGGCTCTTCAGCCTTCATGGACACAGGCTTCAACTCACCCCAATCTCCCTAGTCGCGAACGTTTCTAAATTTAGAACTAGCTAATCAACTGGGAGCTAGCGTACTAATTGACCAACTAATCAAGAAAAAAGGGGGGTCAAGACTGAAAGGATTTTGTGACGAAACTTTACTAAATCTTGCGCGAATAGGTGGACAAGCGTACGGCAGCCACGTGTCATATCATCTCTCCTTCCATCGTCGTCTAGTCTAAGATCGAAACGTCGGCTGAAGAAGAAGGGATCGCCTCCTCCTCCTCCTCCTCCTCCTACTACTACTACTACTACTACTACTACTACTACTACTACTACTTCGCCGTCCTCATCATCGTCGGGAAGTTGCCTCTCTCTCTCTCTCTCTCTCTCTCTCTCTCTCTCTCTCTCTCTCTCTCTCTCTCTCTCT